AGGGGAATATGTATCGCGTACTGTAGGTGTAGGTGGAAACGATATAGCGTCGTTGTAAAGCGAGGAAGTTGAAGTTTGCTTTGGTCGAAGCTTCGCGTGTCTCCGTGTTCTAGCTCGTTATCAAGTTTCTTTCTTTTTTTTTTTCTTTTTTTTTCTTATGTAGCAAGCACTTCTGTGATTTCGAGGGTGCACAAGGTTTAGTTAGAAAAATCAATTGCTGCAAGCTGAAGGTGACAGCCGGATCGACCGTTCGCGCGAGCTTAATTTCGCTCGTAGCGTTCGCTTGCGCGTACTTGCCATCGATAATCACGCGTGCCGATGCTTTTAACCGATTTCAATACGGTTAGAAAATTCTCGTGTTGCCGCTAATGGATTTCATCGAGCACATCTTTCCCCGAAGATAAGTCCACGACGAATGACGTTTTAATTGCTCGAGGCGGTCCTGCTCGTCGGTAGACTACGATCGATAGGCATCCGACGACAGAGAAGAAACTCTTGGGTTCGTATTATCGATCGTTTTAACCCTTTCACAGTATCGTGGAGCCCCGACACCGTCACTGGCTCATCTATCTCGATAGCGTATATTCGTAATGTTTGCCCAGTTCTTGTCATATTTGTTTTGTGCTATCGTAAGAGCGAGTACAGCGACCAGCTTAATTTAATCAATAGTTAGATAGATTTCCTATAAATCATTTTTTAAAGCTGTGAAAGTTGGAGTATGGAGAAAATACACGCAACTGAATCTATAAATATTGCTCGGTGATAATTCACCGTAAATATCCAAAATATTTGTAACATTTGACAACATCACCAACGTATCCACTGTATCTCGCATTTTTACTTTTCTCGCGTTAAAACAATTTCCCCGATCAATTAGCAGGAAATAGACGGGTTAAACTTTTTTTAATAGGGTTAATCATTGTCAATCAGCTTCAAAGATTGTCGATTATATTTTATTTCATCGATAAACGTCCTTCGTGTCGATAGCGTGTGTCCATTCGTCCAGATATGATGGCGAGGATAGAGGCAAACACGTTTGCCCCGGTGTGCCAGAATTCGCGAAGCTCGCCGTTAATTGGACGTCGACGTCGAACAGGCGGACCGACGAGCGAGCAACGGATGAACAACCGTTTGCGACCTACATTTGCCTCGCGAGCTTCCAACGCGCTGGCCCGATTAAACTCACAGACGTTTCGTCGTTCAGCTTCCTCGACAGACTCGCGTGCCATTCGGATTGCGATCGCATAGATTACGCGTTGATCGCTACTTGGCGAATAGTTTCCATTTAGCGGACTATTCCGCTGGAATATGTTGGAAATCTGGCGATCGATGTGGATCGCGCCACGAGTGATAGCCGTTGATCGAACTGCATTTTCTGCAATTACATTCTGACGATCATTTGGTCGGGAGCGGCCAAGTGTACGATCGAATAATGGCCAGAACCGTAAACGCGAAACAGACAGGCATCTCCGATACGAAAGTAGAAGTTAGGAAGCATTCGTAGCGTAGATGGATTTTCGTACAATTCCTTCGAAATTTTCTATATCTACAGGGTGGTTGGTAACTGGTGGTACAAGCGGAAAGGGGGTGATTCTACGCGAAAAAAGAAGTCGAAAATGTAAAATAAAAATTTTTCGTTCGAGGCTTTGTTTTCGAGAAAATCGACTTTGAATTTTCGTTCGGTACGCGTGCGGTACGTCATAACGGATCTCACTAATAGATCGGTGTCTCGATGGAAAAATTAAAAAAGAAAAATTTTTTTTATTATATATTTTCGACTTCTTTTTTCGCGTAGAATCGCCCCCTTTCCGCTTGTACCACCAGTTACCAACCTTCCTGTATATGCGATTCACCAAAATGGAGATATTCGTCTTGAAAGTTGAAAGTTTTAACACGTAGTCCCTGTGACTTTTCGATTAATTACGGAGAAACCGTTTCTACTAGCTTGTTGAAAAACTAATACGTTGTGTAAAATGGGTAGAAGAGTGGTTTTTTAAAGAAAAATCCCCCCTCTAATCTCACCATTTTCGAATAAAAGTATCGTGAAATATATGATATATATATTTAAAATCTCATATATTACAAGGCAAAGTTACAGCGTTTTCTTCATATCTAAATTGTTTGTTAGCGTGCGCGCATAAAGAGTACACACAGGCAAGAAATTTTGTTTATGCGAAGAATATGGCTTTCGAGTCTCGGCGCGTTTCGCCGTTGAGGGATATCGTTCACGCTACAAATACCTTAAGCGAATTAAGCAGAAAACTTGTCGTTTTCTGTGTAACGTGGAGCCGACCTATTTGGCAGAAAATCGTAGGTAAACTCGGCCGAGAATAACGCGTTCGCGGAAATGGCCGGAAATAGTTACGGGAGACACGTGCGAGCAGCAGGCGCCACAAGACACGCGCCACTTTATTCGCTCGTTTGTCGCTCCCTCGGTAGTGCATTCATGCGGGAGACCGAGCAAAATATACAAGGCGTTCTCCATGTTCTTCCGGTTAAACTTTGTTAGGATGTTCTACGGATACAAACAAGAGAAAGATCCAGTGGAATTTGTTAGAAGCTTTGCTATGAATTTAGAAGAAGAATGGGAAATAGGCAACGTGTCTATTTCGAGCGTTATAAGGGCTCTATCGTATAACGTTGCCGTGTACATATATTTGAAAAGTATATCGCTCATTTGGCGCAACAATGACGCAAAAGATCGCGATTTTAGCGGATACGAGTTTGCGATAGCGACACAGCTGCCCTCGCGTGGTGAATCGTTCAAGTTCGCCTGTAGCACTCTGCCAGTAGAATGTACACACGGGGAACGTTGCACGGAAATCTCGTTCCATTTTTACAGCCGAACCGAAGGATGCGTTCGTTTTCCTTTACGCGTTTTCGCCACTTTTCTGCCAACTTTGTTATTCCATCGGCACAGTACTACTCGGACTTCCGAGAGAAACAAACGTTTCCAATTCCTTTTTCCAATCTTCCAATCTTTTCCAATTTTTTTCCGATCTTCTTTTATCGTTAACGTAGTTTTGCGACTAAGCGATAGTCTGTGCCAGGCCGGCGAAAAAACGACTAGCTAATTCCAAAAATGATAGTTTCATATCCTACATCGACGATATCAGATCAAATCGACTAAATTGATATTAAATTAACGGTCATCGTTCAAACTTGAATTTCGTAACGAAAAAAGAAACGAACCCGACAGATGATCGCAAGCAACATGTTGAGAATTGTGGATCTGAGTCGCCGAAATAAACGTACAGCAACACTCACATTACACGTAGAAACGATATTAAAATAGTTTCAGATTTATTTAATATGTGATTTACAAGATATTCGTAGATACACATTGCATGCGCCGCAGCACTTTTTTTGCCTCACCATCCTCTTTACCACCATACAGTTGCATTCTTCTGTTTTACGAGACGCTGCGCACGCACATACTTCCACACACACTCATAGTCATATATGTGTGCGACTTCTTCGCGGCTAATCCAGTGTAGCACACAAAATTACACATATCTCAATACAACATCTGTCCTTTCTGTATCGTGTGTGTGTATAATAACATAAATCCTTAGGGTAAATTAGGCGAGCGATTCCGGAAAATCGAGTTTATTTTGGAAATAATTAAATTAAATACAATAACAGTTAAGCGTTTGAGTGTCAGGGGTCTTTGAAAAAACAGGGGTCTTAATCGATTGCGAAGGGAAACAAGCGGCGCAATAGCGCCTGTCATATTTCTTATTTTTATGAAATACGTCTATATTATTATACATGCATGCTATTAGTTTCTAAATATTTCAAGTTTCGTTCAATAAACATTATTGAGAAGATAACAATGAAATACAAAATATCGTCAGTCTTCCGTAGCATTCAAATGTACTGCGACTTTTCAACACAAAATCTAAACAGTGCGATCGCGCTGCTTGCGACTCAAACGGTTAATGACAATCTACTAGAAATTTTACCTGGAAAATCTATAATTGATTTTCTAGGTCCTAAATTACCGTTTTTCTCTCTCGCGATCTTTCTATTCAGCAAATGACGACTGTCGGTAAAGCAAGACAAAAGTAAAAATGTAGGTTGGCGGGTAGTTTGAATCCTATAGAATTTACATATATATATTTATTTTGTTTTGTGTATATATATATGTAAATTTTATAGAATCCACTCTACNNNACTCTACCCGGCAACCGACATTTTTACTTTAGTTTTGTATATATATGTAAATTCTATAGAACGTACGGATAAACATTTTCGCTGTATCGCATAAAAGTGAGGATGCATATTGTATAAAGGAGAGCATCGACTAAAGGGTGATTTTGTATCGTGTTTCAGGTGGGTCCGGC